ACAGTCTATTATAGAGTCTATAGAATGTGTACACAGTCTAGAGTGTGCAGATGCATTGTCGATACATAGTCTATTATAGAGTCTATAGAATGTGTACACAGTCTAGAGTGTGCAGACTATGTATTATAGAGTCTATAGAATGTGTACACAGTATAGAGTGTGCAGACTATGCCATAGAGTCTATAGAATGTGTACACAGTCTAGAGTGTGCAGACTATGCCATAGACTAGTCTGTAGTGTGTAGACCATACTGTTATGATCCTGGCCAATTTCGAAGTACACATTCATCAGAGACTACAATGCCGTCCAATTGCAAAAAGAAATGAATGAACATGAGAGGAGAGCGAGGGAAAGAAGAAGAAAAAGGCGAAAGAAAGAAGAAGATGATGTACCCCCGCATAGACCAATGATAATGCTCTTCTTCTTCGCCAACCACTCTCCTCCTCCTATCTCCTCCCGTCTTATTCAATCAAGAAATAATAATAATAATGTTGAATGGCTGAACCAGAATCAATGTCCGAATCCCTCTTCTACTGCAGGTATCACACTCTTCTCGAAGGCCTAGGCTATGGCGGACTGCTAGGGCCTTGCCCTGATGTGCAGAAGACAACTCAAGCAGCTATGACTGCTCTAGCTCAGGCCGCCATGCCTGACTCTGCCTCGAAGCTTCTTGGTGTAGCTCTACCCCTGGTATCACACTCTTCTCGAAGGCCTAGGCTATGGCGGACTGCTAGGGCCTTGCCCTGATGTGCAGAAGACAACTCAAGCAGCTATGACTGCTCTAGCTCAGGCCGCCATGCCTGACTCTGCCTCGAAGCTTCTTGGTGTAGCTCTACCCCTGCTGGGCCCTTCTTAGTGCAGCGCCCACCAACGTGATGAAGATGGCAACCACCATAGCCAGGTAAGTACCTCTGGCGCTCCCCCTTCCTAGTCCTGGACTTCTTCCTCCTCCCCCGGCAGCGCTGCTCCAAGCTAACGCTGCTCCAGCCAGCACTCCAACCAGTGTGTCGCCAAACTTGCAAACCGAAAATGAGCAGCAGCACCTTGCTCCTCCTGGAGATATAGTGGCCTGCTTGCCTCTTGGTGCATGACTTCCTAGGCCACGTGGCCTCCAAGCAACCGAAAGCTCCTCCCTTTCGGAGGGCTCTGATATTGCCCGTAAAGGCCCTAGACTCAGACCGGTTGGACTGGCACCCGCCTAGACCTAGCCTACAACTATTGGGCCTCTAAAACTGCCAGCTTTTGTCTTCTTCTGCTTGCCCGTACAGTGAACACACCCTTTTACCCCCTTTTGGCCGGTCCCAGCTATGGGCGCCAGCAACATGAAGAAGATGAGCCATTACGCTGCTGAAGATAGCGCAGCTCTCAAGACGCAACCTCACCAGACCAACGTGAAAAAAGACAAAAATGGAAAAGAACCAAAAGAACCCCAAATTCATCGGCCTCTGCCTACTTCTACCTGACTTCCCTAGACCTCCAACACAGCAGCCACCTACAGACCTATCTGACTGTCCAAACAGCAAACATCTACGGCCAAACAGTCGAGATCTACCTACATGCATCTAGAGGAAACCTAGGGAACCCAAGGCTAGGATACACAAAAGAAAGACCTATGGCCTACCAGTTTCCAGAAGGGCAGAAAATGACAAAACAACAAGGCTGAAAGCCCTAAGACTACGAAGTAAAGACTACTAGCGACAGGTTCAAGGTTCATGCCCAATAAACCTCAAAAACAGTCAAACACCACAAACACACTACAGGTCACAGGATCAAGTCCCACAACGCCCAAAACAAGGAAACAGCAAACACAGTTAGTGTACAGACCCACCGGGATACTGCGATTTATTGCACACACACACACACACACACACACACACACACACACACACACACACACCCCAACTCGTACCTATTCGTCTGGATGGAACAGGGGCTGTTGTGGTGCATTTTTTTAAACACACACACACACACACACACACACACACACACACACACACACACACACACACACAGCAGAAGAGTCGAGTGAGAACAAAAGATGTGGAAGGAGGGACAGGGGAAATTGATAGAGGAAACATCAGAGGATAGAACTGAAGGACAGTCATAGAACATGTAGGATAAATGGAGAAGAGGAAAAAAGTAAATGGGCAGTCCATTTTGGCTAAGATCAGGTGCAGTATCTGTTCTGAACAGTTTAATATCTGATCCGTGGTCAATCGAGCCACATTGAGAGAAAAAAAAAAAAAAAGGGCCGAGGTCAGCAGGAATTTGATAGAAAAAGAGCAGACATCAGCAATGGGCTCAACAAGAGAGGGAGAGCTCAGATGTAGAAGAAGGTAAATAATTTTTCAAAAAGGGAGTTCAGTGTTCACCTACATTAGGGTCCAAAAAACAGATCAAATGGGAACGGATCAAATGGATAGGAGAACTTAAACCAGGAATGGCGAAAGGAGGGTAAGGGAAAGAAGGCTTAACAGGTAAGGGAAAAAGTGCTTTTAACTGTCACTTCATTTTACAAACTGGCATTTCAATTTGACAAACTGTCAAACTGCCATTTCATCGAAACAGAATTATTGACTTTTATTTCACAAAACACACGAAACGGTAATGCAGGCCATTATGTGCCTTCGATTGGTACCCAGGCTACCCATCCCATGTGTGTAACATGACCACCGCAGAGAGGCTGTGTAAGGGAAGGAGATACACGAACTCGACTCAACAGCTCTCAGAATCTGAGAGTGAGAGGCGGGGCAGAGACTGAAACAAAGAGTCAGATTGACTAGACTTGATCCATGGAGATCGCAGCAGCTCAAAGAAGTTTTGAACAAGGAATTGCATGAGACATTTGATGTAATCATCACTGATCAGTGCTGCTTCCCGTCGGTCTCCCACCTTTTGAATGGGTCCAAGTGGCCGAAAGGCAAATCTGCAAAAATACCGGGGTTGTAACGCGCGCGAGGCTGAGGGAGAGCCGAGGAAGAGGAGAGAGGGAGGGAGAGAGGGAGGGAGAGAGTGAGAGCACACACATACACTCACTCACTCGACACGACTGAGGGTCGGACAGACACAGTGGCAAGGGCACAAAGTCGAAGTCTTGGATTCCCAAATGCCGAAACAGCAAGTCACACGGAGTACGAGTACAGCAGCTGGAAACTGGTACGAGACTGGTCCCCGTACCGTACGGGGAGCCGGTATAAGTACCGGTGACACGTACGGTACCAGGGGCATTTCTGCAAAGGCCCCGAGGGCAGAACTGAAAAATGCGGTATTTGAAAGTGGCGCCCGAATTGCAGCATGGCGCCAGTTGTCCCAAAATCCTATGGTACCAAAGGAGGGGTTTGGAAAAAGGGTGCCAGGCCGGAAACGGGATGCAGCCGAAACAGCAGAAAGATAGACCAGGGATCGAGCCCTGACGGAGTCTGTAACAGGGGTACAGGGATTTGGAAGAAAAGCCCCACAGCCTCGGAAAATGCTTTGGCACAAAAACAGCTCGAATGACTGGTGCCGAGAATATCAGGTCCGAGGTTCGAGCCCTGGCATGTGGTTGAATTGCACACACATGTAAATCTTCATGAACAACGGATCATGAGTTTGAGTCCTCATAGAATCAGATGATGTTAGGGGATACACCCTTTGACAATAAAAGCAAAAAAGGGGGGAACCAAGCAAAAAGGTATGAGATTTGGCTTCCATGGGTTGGTCTATATGGGAGGGGGTGTGTTGTGAGGATACAAGCTTTGCATTTGCATTTGTTGTTTGTTGTGGAGTCTAGCCACCGTGAATGACCCAATCCACTCCACCCGTAGGCAGTTCCCCCAGCCAGCCAGACATACTCAAGCAAGGCAGGCAAGGGGGGGATAGGGGCAAGAAACCCAAAAAAAAGAAAAGCCAAAAAAATATGACTTCAGGTCAGGACTGCACATGGCCTGAGCAGACGTCAGAATCCTGCATTTACCTTCTAACTTGATGATGTGTCAACCCCGGGGGGGGGGGGRGGGGGCTGTGGGATATAACCTACTAAGAGGTTACCATAAAGGAAGGCCTTCATAAAGGTAAGTGAGTCGAGGAACACATGTCGAATCGTCAATCGATACATTCATGATAAGTGAAGCTCAGAGAAGATGAGTTGAGGAAACTGAGTTTAACCTGTTTAACCTACAGATGAGAACGGGGCAAAAAGCCTTCAAAAAGTGCAAAAGACTCTACCTAAAAATGAGTACTGTTTGCAGTGATCCATACCTGAATTCCCATTGTCATGAGATGATGGGCTATGTAGAGGCAGTCATTGTACAGAAGCATCCCAAGCAGTGCACTTCTTGAAAGCTGAGCAGCATGCTGTGCACACCATGACAGAATGTGCACTCCCCGTTAACATAAACATGCCCTACTTCCTGTGACCTTCCCCCTCTCCCCACCCCCTCCACCTGTTCTCTCTCTCTCTCTCTCTCTCTCTCTCTCTCTCTCTCTCTCTCTCTCTCTCTCTCTCTCTCTCTCTCTCTCTCTCCACATACACACACACACATGTTTATACAAGGTAACATTGATCACATTGAATGACATTGTCCATGAGTTCGCCACCATCTTCGGCACANCTCTCTCTCTCTCTCTCTCTCTCTCTCTCTCTCTCTCTCTCTCTCTCTCTCTCTCTCTCTCTCTCTCTCTCTCTCCACACACACACACACACATGTTAAGACAAACATGTCAACATTAGAATTCTTTTCATTGTCCATGAGTTCGCCACCATCTTCGGCACACAAATAAGCAATGGTCCAATCCTCATATATCTGCTTATCACCCCATCAGTCCTGCTCCATCAATTCACAAAGATGTGCCGCCAGGACAATTGCAGAAACGGAAAGCTATTAAAAGAAAAAGAAATAGAAAGCTCGTGTAGCCTTCATGCATGCAAACAAAAGAAATCAATCCCACTCTACAGCTGGCTGATCTGGACAGCAAAGACCAGAGAAGGAAACCTTGTGTACACTGTTACACAGCAAGGTCACTTCCGTCATAAGGAAATGGTGCAGCAGTCCATCCAGTGTTCCAAATCATTAATTTAATAATTTCCCAACACAGCAGTTCGTTGAGGGTTCCCAACCATTGCTTTCCCACCATGGCACTCTGTCACGTTCAGCATTGCTGCATGAAACGCACAGCTGCAGAAGATTCTTGGGAATCTACACAAGTCAAGCTTCATCGGGGGGAGAAAAAGGTGGGAAGTAGGCGGAAGAAAAAAGTGGCAGTCCCCACCTTTTTCTTCCCACTATCTCCCAATTGCGACTTGCAAGTCAAGGTAATTACTTGATGTTAGTATCTACTAACAGAAGAATACAATATGGGTGGACGGCATAGGGATAGCGTGCAGTATTTAGTTTTTACACAGGCAAAAGCAGTCAGGATGGCAGCTCAGTTCGTGCACCCATGACCTGTTGAAATACAGGCCTCAGTTCGAGTCCCAATCAACTCAGATGAGTGAAAAACAAAACAGAGCGCAACTAACGCGTACCTTGACAGGAACAATTGCCCTGTACATCAGAAGCGCATCTCTTCCCGCATGATAGAGATCCATTGCTGTCCGCTCTGTGGAAATACATGCCTCCTGCATGACACGAATGTAGAAAATGGGGCGAGAAAAAAAAGGTAAGGGGTTCCACATGTGACACAAACCCAAATTGTTTCACACAGAGAATAGATGAGTGAATGCAAACCATTTCAGCTGAACCACTTTTTATTACATTTTTAATATTTTTTCCCTTTCAACGGCTACGCAGCGCGCACATAGGACAGGACCCTTCATCAGAGGCCTTCACACTGATATCCATACAGTAACTCACCTTCGCCAGACAGTCTCCAGATCCCACTTATTTTCAACTCTGGTTATAATGTTCCTTCAACTTCCTTGCTCATTTAATGACAAAAGACGTACAAACATTCACTCAAGGAGTCGGAAAAAAAAAAAGAGAGAGAGAACACTAGTAGAATGGAATAGAAAGAGAATGAGGCAGCAAGAAGAAGAATAGAAGAGAGAAGACGAACAAGAAATTGACTGATAATGCATGGGTCCTGAAGACCAACTCACGCAAGAGTGTTCATAGCATGCACCATCGCCATACACAATGAATGGAAAACTTCACACACTTGACAAAGAGGTAAGAAGAGAACCGAGTTACACAGCTTATATTATCAAAAATATGATTACAAAGAGTGTCACAGTTCCCTGAGTTCAGGCGCTCATCCGCGCAGTAAAAATCTCTCATCCAACTTATCAATGTGGCTTCTACACATTAGCGCCACCTCTGCAGATCATATCCAACTCAGGTAAG